ATGGAGTCAATCAAAACCACCAGGTGCTACGCACATCTATTCGGTGACTATGGACAGCCGAGAACCTCGGCGCAGATGTTTTAACTGTATTATGATGTATCATTTGGCGCGGCTCGTAAACGCTGGGCGAGAACGGTACTCGTACGAGCGCGACATGCTTTTCAGGCAACGGTAAGCTTTATGAGTGGCTCTGACACCGGCCAATGGAACGTCTTGCTTCAATGACAGTATGTAGAGGGTAGGCGCCGATTCTTTTTTCTAATTTTAATAACCATAGTGCGCTTTTGTGCAGTAATCCTGTGTCTTTTGTTTTCCTGATGTGCACCATCAGGCATTTTCTGGATTTCTCTGAATACCATGGATTGCGGAGACAGTTTGACCACCAGGTGACGTTATAACCTTCGAGATCAAGGTTACTCCAGCTGTCCATCCTTACGGAGTTTGTCTAAGCCTAGATATGGTCCAATACCTGAGATTATGTCAGGTGCGCATGTCAGGCATAAACCAATATCATGTTCAACATCCCCCGTGGAAAGTGAGGTCATATCAAAATATATCGTCCTCATGGTTAACCTCTCCTTAAAATGAAATATGTATTTGTATTGCTTGCCACTGGTCTGTACGGGACTCACGATTAAATGAGAAATTTTATTAACGTGTTTGCTCACCTCATTTGCTTACTTTTGGAAGGCCATGAAAACGAAAAGGCGGTTAATTGTAGACTCAGGAGTCAACCAGTGGACAGCTACTCTGTGATTATCCGCAACTATACGTTAGACTGAAATTTGGTTCAGTTGAGCATAGAGTCTGACTTATAGATGTCTCCAAAAACATGTTGTCTGTAGTTCAAATGTTGGAGAACGTCCATCCCTAGTCATCTACCCGTACAATTACCTTAACGTTCATAAAGGAAACTACTCACAAGGTTGCTGAATACTCTTCGACAGCTCACGATCGGCTTCGCCCTTCTTGGATCTCATCAGGTAGGCGCGGTCCAAACCTTAACGTTCCTTTATCAGTCTTGGGCATTTGAATGGAAGTGCCTTGTTTCAGGTGTCCAAGTGTAGAGTTGTGTGTGGCTAAGATCCGAGACACAGTTTCGCCATCCTTATGGTGTACTGGCGATCCTATATCCAGCTTTGTCCACTATTTCAGTGCTTTCCTTCGGGCCCTGAATTCAAGCCGTTTCTACCGGAACAGGATCTGATTCCATTCCCGGATAACAGATCTGTAACAAAGTTTTGGACGGCTATTGACGAGAGCAAGTAAACTGTGCGCACCATAACCAGGTTCAATCAGTTCATGAAACACTGAAAAACATCCACATAAATTTCGGTCGAACATGGAAACCAAAACTACATCTAGTTCTCGGTACCTATCACCCACCAAAATTTTACTCATCATGGAGAAGAGTATGTATCAGTTCCAACGGGATCGGGTTTTTGCTCAGTATAACTCAACCGAATGTTGGTATAAACTTTTTTCCACGGAGTAAATCAGACTCTATCGTACGACAGGATACAGTAGGTAATTACTCGCCTAAAGGGTATTTGTCGCTTGAGAATCCAGATTCACTGGCAGGTATAATGAGTCCCGAACAGTGCAATGATCTTCAGCTGGATGGCCCACTATGTAGTGCCTTCCTTCCCTAATTGAACTCAACAGTCAAGTAAATGCGCAGTGCCTTCCAACTGATGCTTGATTAAACTACGCTAGTCATAATGATGGCAAGATTAACGTCTCCGTTCGCCAGACCTACTGTTTTTTAAGAATCAAGGTACATATGAAGCCCCGCTAAATGCCTTGGGTTCAGCATTGAGGAACACATCGCCTTGTGGTTCAAAAGCCCCTGGACGTTCAGTCACACTAACAAAAGTACAAATTATCCCATGCACAGTGAACCTGAGATTGATTTTCAACAAAATCTGCCTTTACCATCCAGTCATGGTAATAATGTAAGTGTGGCGGTATATCTATTTGACCCTTCATAATGGATGCGATAATGGTTGACCATTAACGTAACCATAAACAGTATTTATCCGCTGACATGAAATAATCTATTTCACCTCACAGCGTTTCTGCTGCGCCAAAAATTTTGGCATGCTCGTCAGTGAGTTATTTGTTATCCAACCCCCATTGATGTCGAATCACAAACCCGCTCAATCCTCAGACTTTCTACAGAAGCTACTAACTGACATGAAGGCACCTGGCAAGCCTATGGAATGTAGACAGAAACGAATGGGAACTGTATCGCCTGACACGTGTTAAATCATTTTATGCCGCCTACTGATCTATAGGCTACTCGTAAATCGCAAGACCTTTTACCGAACACAATGCCGTCGGTTATATTCCAGTGTCCCGGATTCCACACAACTCCATGCACGACGATGTTTGAGCAGCACCAGTTATTTAATCCTCTGACAAGTCGACTGAAATAAGTTGGCAAATGGAAACAAGACATTACGGGAGACCAGTTTGTAATGACAAAATGAGGTATCCGAATCCGTTTAGCAGCCTCCAGTTTGGTGACCGAAAGCTGACCACACAGCAAGTATGACCATCGCCGATAAACCTTATGCAATAAAAAATAGATGAACCCAGCTGATGCCCCAGGTGATGCTCATATGATACATCCACATTGACTTTACTCATGCGAAAACTAGTGTATAAGGAATTAACGAAGTAGCCCAAGGGACAGGTTTGATGGAACAGGTCTGCAGAGAACTGACTCAGGTTCTCATCAATTCTGATGCTGCTCTCGCTACCGTTTGGATATATGTCACAGAATTCAGACCGCCGACTCCCTGTCGATCCGCATTTCTTCACTCATCGTACCAAGCAGGGTTACGGAGGACTGTAAAGGAAGTACTAGCCGAAAACTTGAGACAGGCATTCAGTTCACAGTAGCATGTACCAGCTGTCCTCCTAAAGGAGGATGGTTAATTCTTGTTGTGTGTCTTGTCACAGACTGAATAAAGTAGAAGAACTGGATTTCGGCCTATTACTACGAGTAAATTACATGTTGGCTTTACCTGAGGCTTCGAGTTGGTTTCGCACCTACGCTTTTGGTCCATGAAACTGACAAACCGAAGCAAGGAAAAAAAAGGTGCGAGATCGTGTTCGTAAATTCTGTGGGTTCTACGAACTCCATAAAATGCACTTTAATCTTACTAACGTACCCTTGCCATTTTTAAAGGCCACACAAAGCCGTCCTCTATAGTTTGACCCTGGATGTAGCTTGTTGTACTTTACGATGTCATTTTGTTTGGGGATGACATTTTTCAACCACATATCAACTTACATTTAGCACTGAAAAAGACTGAAAAATGGTGTACTTGAGCTTTAACATTTGACGTGGTACTCCAGAAAATAAGGCATGTGTGTGATCATTATCATCCACGAAGATCGAGCAGAATAATATCGCAAGTCCTGTCACCTGAAATGTGACCTCTCGAACAGGCGAGGAACAGCAGTAATCATGATCATTTTGAGGGATAGTTGTGTCCTCATGCTATTGTTCAACTGCCCTCTGAGTGTCAGAAAACATGAAAGCCTAGTGCGTAACCGATGTAGCCTGGTCTCTGAACGCTTTGTAGTGGATGGTGTCTCAAAAGGATCTCAAGCCTGGTTTTACAATGCTGGATTGAAGTTGTCTTAGTTGGAAGTGTGGTTTTAAACTACGGTACAGAGCTTCTCGGCTTCTCGTTATAGACTCGCTTCACTAACAGGACGAAATCTTCGTTTAAAATCCTCAGATTTACTCATCACCATCAATCAATGAATAGCTCAGAGCGGAAAAAGTATTACAAGAGACATGAGAAGAAATCTGAGAAGTTTTCACTTGAGGAGCTAGTCAGCACGTGATGTCGTGATGTGGTTTGTGTAATTGCGGGATGAGGGGCGCTACGTCCTCTTTTAAGTGAAAGCCGACCAAACTGCCGATCAACCGCTCATGGTCTAACGTTTTCCAAAGATGAAGCAGCTGTAAAGTGTTTCTCGTCAGCATAGAATAGATTAGCTTCGCTGACAGCAAGAAAGCTCTCTTCATTCGTTGGTTTCATGTGTTTTTTCTGTCCCTGGTGAAATCAGCACATTGTGTTATTCCGCGAATCTTCCGGCAACGGTTAGGAGGATGTGTTGTTCGGTTTCATGGAAGTGAAGGGAAGTTTGGTGTTGCCATTTTGCTTGCTTAAACTGGCCTCAAAATACAGTCGACTGTTTTATGTGTCATTTAATTACAGCATGTGATAATCACTCGCTTAGAAACGTGTCCGACAAAGGTCGCCCCATAAATTCTAACATTTTGAAAGCACTCGACCTTACATTCGAGAGATGTAAATACTTTTGCAGGAACTACTGCGGACAGCAAACATTTTGTTGCATTCTTGGTTTGTATTTCTATCCACTTATTATTGTGATTTCTTGCTGATAGCTGTAGCGCTGTTTGTTCACTGTGACACCCCCCCCCACCCCGAAAATTCACCGCGGTGGGTGGTGAACCGGCCTTACTTGACTTGGAACAGTATTCGGTCACAACCCCTACCAACTTGACCACCGTTTTTCGCTCTCGCGCAACGTCTGTTGGAGTCAATTACGCAGGCCCTTCATGCTTCCCCTGCAAACTTTAGTCATACCATTGGTAGCTGAGTAATTGGTAGTCTAGGCACCAAGTTGTTGGGCCAGTATAAGTTAAATTATGTGCAAGAGGATGTAAGTTGTTGAGGTTTGTAACATCCAAAATGAAGCTGCTAATATGGGGACACCTGGAAGAATTCACGAGGCCTGCAGTTAAGACTGGCACCCATGAGGAAGAATCATATCCCCCGTTATCATGGGTGTATGATACTGATGCACCCGTGTTCGATGTTGGTACTGCTGACAAGGATGTTTAGGCTAGGATTATTTGTTAATTCTCTCAAAGTTCTTGATGCAGTAATCTATGTAAGAAAATGAATGTCTACTCATTTCATATCCCCATTAAAAATCAACAGAACATTTGATGAATAGAGGTTTATAATTGAATTATAAACATGAAAAAATGCTCAAGCTTACCAAAAGCGTAACATGTTCTCACGTGTAAGCCTCACATCTGGGGGTGGCTTTTGCGTGTTTCTGTGATATCAGGTTTGCATCGTGTATGAAGCATGGTGAACACACTGAGTAGTTTAAACATAACACCAGCATAATGTGCAAACGGTCTTTATGATTTCAAAAGCCCGTAGTTGATATGAGTGTCAACTACAAGAATCATTCTGCACCATTTCAAGTAGATGAGTGAAAAGGCCTCAAACTAGTGTCCAAGTAAAATGGCCAGAATGTGGTCAGCTCAAGAAGTTGGTGGACAAACTGACTCATTCACCGTTTTCACAAACACACGCAACCCAATGTTGGTCTGAGTAAGCCACCAATCAGTCAGATGTTACGTAATCCGATTCGTTGGAGGTACTCTATAATTGTTTTGTTTGGGGAAGGTGAGGTCAGGTAAGTGGGGCAGGGTTTAATCAGGTAATAAAAGTAGTAGTTGCAGTAGATAATAATCAATTGTGAATCGTAGAAACAGTATAAAACGATTGACAAAAATAGGATCACTCTGATCCTCGAACAATACGGGCTCTGTTTGTCAGGGTCATTTGTTTTGATTGTTGTTCTCAGTGGTGTTGTCGTTTTTGTCGATGTTGTTGTTGGTGATGTTCCCGCCGGTGCTGCTGTTTTCTATTGTGAGGCAGTGTGGCCAATTCAGCCGCACGCAAACCGCACTTGTCTGTCACTGAGAAATGAGTTTGCGGTTTCGGAACCATCATAAAAAAGAAAGTATGTTAGTAGAAAGAGCGCTGAGAGGTAAGTGTAACTAACCGAATTCTCAGAATCGACTGAATAAAATATGTCCGTGAAGCAGCGACATTTCTCTTGTTTAGCACCCATTGTAAGTTCATGAGTAGAATCTGTTCTGGGGATGCTAGTGGGAAATTTGTCCGCTGTCAGTGGAGTCTATCTAGCACAGGTCGAAGGGCACTCAAATAATCCTAGAGACATTGTTGTTTGAACGTTTGTTGTTCTACATAAGAATCTGAGCAACTCCAAAAGAGAGGGGGAAGGAAAGAGAAGGGAACGGAGTTGTAAGTTGAATCTCGTTGCAGTAAACCGAATGGAAATCTTCTCAAAACGTTCGCACCCGAGCAGTCAGCCAATCAGGATTAGTACGGAATCATTTGACTTTTCAAGAAATTCATCGCTTTGTCAATCAGAGAAGGGTGGGTTGATCAGAGAGATGATCTGCTGGAGTGTTGTTAGGTTGGGAAGTTGGCCGATTCAGCAGGCGCATCTCAGAACATGACCTAGGTCGTGTGTCTCGGCAGAAGATCCGGGTAGTTAAGTAATAGTCCAGCGGCACGTAAATCAGAGCCTGGTCGTGGAATCAAATTGGTGTTAGTGAAACAGGTGAGCAAACAGGAAATTTAAGAATATTTCGCTGAAAATAGGTGTGAAAATAGGTGAGTTGGTGCAATGAATCTCCAAATGAGTGATAGTCCACCAAAAAACTAAGTTCACTCTACGTTTGATAAGGTCAGTAACTTCCCTCGATGTCCAGCAAAGGTATCGGTACTTAGTTCTGTTTCAAACCGGATACCGGCTTCTCTTCATTATGAACCTGGTCCAAATTAGATGTGAATGGCTTGATATCGTCCAAAGCTTTTTTCGTCGACTGTTGATCACCGTTTTTCAAAGGCTGTGGCTGAGTGTCAAAACAGAGATTTTTACCAAAAAGATGATTCTGTTTTGGCTGCTCCTGACCGGTCCCCAGATGCGAACTATCTTCATCCAACAATAGGTTGACCATTCTTGCTGAAAGAAAGGCATCATCCTGCAGTCCCAAGTGATCGTCCCCTTTTAAGCTTCGTCCAGACAAGTTGAATGGTGTCTTCTCACAATCAGCTGATGTCGGGAATGTTGGCTGAATCCAGTCAGTTCCATTGTGAAAGCTGTCAGCATGGACAGCATTGAGTTCCCTGTACAACCTCATTGTGGAAATGGGCCACACTGCGGCGGAGCTCAAGCTAGGATGTTGTCCATTCTGAAACAAAAAACCAATTCTGTCATCAAGCTTTATTTACTATGCTACTCACCCAATGCAAAGTGTGTCATTTAAGAATGTGCTTAATTTTGGTTAGGTTGCCACCAGTCAAAGGTTTTTAATAATTTTTAGTAATTTATTCGTGAGGTAAGAGCTTGCAGAATATTCACAAACCCTCATTCTCAAAACAGGACGCCAAAGTTTCCTAGTGGATCGGCGGAGCTCACTGCTGCTACCGATATCCATAGTAGGCAACGAAACGATTTCAGGGGTAACAGGCTAATAGATGTTGCCGTCCAAATTTCTACCATACAAATACTGTGCCCATTTAAGGAAGCGATAGGACCCACATCCGACCAAATCAGGGAAGTTTTCTTGCAGAAAAAGGTTGCTATAATTCAACCAGTCAAACAATAACTCAATCAATAAACTATGCAGTTGGTCTCTCTTAGAATCTGATGACTGGTTAGATAAGATACTGAATCCTGTCACAACCAACCGCCTTGGAACTAAAGTTCCTAACCGACTATGCTGGGAACAAATTATTTTTTTGCCTTGAAATCCGATGTTCTCGAGGCGCCTAACTTTCGTGGTCCTTCAATATCGACATTAATTTAATATTGTTGCACATCCTACTGGCTTCTCTAGAGTAAAAATAATCCACCAAATCGACCAGGGAACTTGATTGTATTGATAATACTGCAGTCCTGATTAATGTTCAGACAGAAACTTTTCGGCCACTGCGCTTCACCAGTTAGCCTAGAATACCTTGTGGCAAGTTGAAATGTTTCACCACAAGTATGGAGTTCAGTTTAATCCGTCTACTGTTAACCAAGAGCCTGTAAACCGGGTCAGTTTTTTCAATTATTTTCGCCTCAACATCCTCCCGAATTCCCAAGCATGATAAGAAGAAAACTCTAGCATCAGCAAGGCACTTTATGCAGCTTTACATTACTTTACGGAAAAGTTCAGAGACCAGCCTTTGAACAAAGCTCCGCGTGTACACTGTGACCATCTGATCAATACTAAAATACGCCTGTAAGATCTGGGCTTTTAGAACTATTGATTGTCGAAGACTCCAAGTATCGAATACTTGTGCTCCAGAAGAAAGCTCGTAATATGTTGAAATACCGAGGTGTCTAGTGCCTCTGTCAGGGAGTGTTGCTATAATAAACTATGCCTCTCCATACTGATCCAGCAACATAGGCTACAGCATTTGGGGCATTTACTTGATTAATCAGTCTCCAAACTGTCCAAAATCTGCTCGTCACAGCTGTACTTTTGTAATGTTGCACTGGAGGATAACTGAAAACTTGAATGTCCGTGACTACAGAAATATGGACATGGAAACTGGATAACACTGGACTGGGAACTTGTTGCCCATTGTGTTTCGTAAACAGCAGCAATCCCGGATGATTTTGGAGCCTTTTCATATTTTACTAGAAAATTCTCCGTTAAATAGAGCAAAAAGTTTTTAAAAGTCCGCAAAATTCAATGCGCCAATGTTCGTCTTCAATGCAGTAGTTCATGCGTTTTTCAACTAAGTGTGGTCGTTGAAACTTCAGTAAAACTTTGGATTAATTGGTAACGATTGAGCTTTTTGTCATGCTCTCAGCTGCTTGTTGAACAGGCCATGCCACTAAGTAGCCTTCGAAAATAAAGACATCTACTCATGCATCTCACAATTTCAGTGGGACCAGAACTTTGTTAGAAACTCGAATTACACACTAGAGCGCTGTTCCAAATATGTCACCATCACAACGAACACATTTTCCATTCTTAACGAGAGGCGTTATAATTACATGAAAATGCCCTTGTTATGGCATGTTTGGTCACTGTGAACTTCCTTTCCAATGAGCCGTACCTCAGCTACAGTGGGTTGAGTAAAAATTAATTTTATCCGACTGGTGATGCGTTATCATGATGAATACGCGTATGTTGGTTCCTAAAAGTTTACTAGCTCAGCTAGCGAAGTAACTGATTCATTTATATGGGTCAGTCGGAAAAAACCTGGTTCTAAAAAAATCGGATATGGAACCAATTATGGATAACCGCTGCTTTTACAGACGGGAATTTCTTGTCCTTTGGTGAAGCCGAGCCTTGAATGCTAGTATGTTTTCTCTCCAACATCTCTAGATAACGTAGAGTGGATTTCATGTATTCGTTTATTAGCGATGCTTAAAGCGCGAAACTTTCTAGTTGCCGAAGATACCGGTGAGAATATATTACACTGCGGAAGATGTCGGACACTATCTATTGAAATTAATGAGCCACTCGGATTACCAGTGGTTTGATCCAAAATTACCTGACATTGAACGAATCGTACCATTGTGATATTTTTCGTTTCCTACACAACGCAAATTTATTATAATCTGTCCGTCAAAACAAACGACCCGCATTCGTGGGACGGTTTTGAAGTCCTTGAGCTCTGAGACTGTCGGTTCAGAGTGATCAGTGATACTAATGAGCAGATATGCGGTAGTACTTCTGGGATGTCACGCTGTTATAACACAGACTCAAGTTAATGATTCTGGAAGGGAGATGATTCGAACACAGATTTACTGGATCCTCAGCATGCTTCTAATGATATTGGTTGCATTTGTACCGGAGTAAGGTTACGTCCTTTGCGCTTCCCATTGGAATCTGTCAGGCAGTTACTTTGGGAGGCCGACAGAATGACGTACTAATTTGTCAAAGTTTGTTCGAATGGCTACTTCTCCGTCATTTTCTGGAAGCAACAAGAGACAACTGCAGATTACTCGAACAACCATTTGCATCAGTAGTCGCAATGAATTAAACATTCCAAACTAAGGAACTTGTACAGCCACTCAAAAATGGTTTTTCATTAAAACGTCCTTACTTATGGCTGGACTTCCGAGCCGAGACAAGTTGCAAAACCACCTTAGATATTTGAAGAGTGAGTTGCATCGGCAAACCGGGACCGTGACTGTGTCGAAAAGACTTGATCCAAATGTGACTGTGACACAGTGGTTCTGTAGTTTGTTTTTGACTTTAGTATAAGTGAGCTACAAATGGTCTTCAAAAGCTATGTATGCTGCTTACTTGTAGGAGAAAAATTCCGATTTGGTAACATCCAGAGGAAACGAAGCCTTCCTAGAATTAGCACTTTTGTACTGTGTTAACATAGCACTGCCTCTTTATAGGGAATACCCTTAGGGAACAGCTTAACTCTTTCTAACTGAGAAGTTGCTTGGCTGTGAGTTTGACTCACAACAAATACCCAACATGGATATGAAAACTTATTTGGCCATTATAAGTTTGTTAATGGAAGCTGTAAATAGTCAGGGACATTAATTAAGACACTATCAATAAACAAACAAAAATATGAGCTGCATATCGAGTAGGGACCGTGAGTTTAAGGCTAATTATTCCCCACCATGTGCCATGCATGGCAACTGACCATAGCTTTGCCCTGATCTTTCCGGATAGCAGCGAACTAATTTCTCTTGATGTGCTACTTAGGTGAAGATAGAATGCTGGACCAACCCATGTATAGGAGATGGGAGTTGCCAAAACCATTTTTCTCCTCGAGGTTTTGCGTAGACGGTGGTCTCTCACAATGAGAATGTACTGAAGTGCTTCAAGTTTTACGGTATTTTGGAATGCAAGCAAAATCCTGAAGCAGTTCAACATAACGCGTAAGATGAGCAAAACAACCTTAATAGTGGTTAACAGTTTCATCTGTGGTCTTAACTTGGTACATGCAGTCAAGCGGGAAAAGTTCTAATCACTCAAAAACAGGTCAAAATATGCAGGTCAGAATTTTTGCTGAAAGGCCGTAGAACACTCTCTGTGAGAGCCATTTTCCGAAGTACAAAGCCTCGCGCGGTTGTGTATCACAATAACAGAGGACAGAGCACTGGGAAGATTGAGAATGCTACGTTGGAAGCAATTACCAGTAATGGCGCATAGTTTTGAACGATATCGACCCCAATGAATCATCTGTTAAGAAGTTGGTGATGATGGTTAGTTTGGTTCATCTAGGGAAAGGCTTCTTTCCTGAACTGAATGGAAGATTACGCACTGGCTTGCTCAACTTGAAGAATAATCTGAGCAGTCAGGCACTGCTCAATATTGAAGGCGAGTCCGCTAAACAGCCTTCTGTTTTCTAAACTTATAGGTAATGTTAAATTAGTTAGAAATCCGAGTTTCAACCTTAATGTTTGATGCTCGTTCGTTTCACTTTCAATCTATACCTAAGCAATGTCCGAAGTTGGAAACACTGGTTGCTTGGGGATTGTGTCCTTCATTTTGCGGAGGTGGTGTATAGATTGTTTTCACGCTTAAATCTTGAAATAGAAAACCTGGTATGAACAGGCTAATCAACCTAATACCCCTACCACAACTTTGGACGTAGGCACACATTTTGCTGAGCGACGAACCTTCTCCAAACCCAATACTAAATACCTGATTTACGAACATAGATAGGTAACTTGATCGGATGAGATCATTAAGGTCATCTGCTCAGGACTGCATATCGATTTATCACAAATCGATTACGTGAAGTTTGTTGGGCCGTACACGCTATACCATTATGAGTTGTGGAATTGGACGCAGAGCTAACTGAAATATCAATATGCTCTAGGCAACAGGTGGTCAAGGTGTGTAAGCCTTTGCTTGATCTTTGGTGAATTGGCCCCTTTTCGGACAGTCAAATTCTGCGAGCTGCACCTCACTGCTAGCACTCAATAACAAACCGAAAATTCTAGTGCCACTCAGGATTTCACAAGATCCATCTCGCAACATCCAGAGTACCCAAATGTTAGGGCTTTGTGACCGACTTCGGGGTTTCCAGGCACTGACTGGTATGTGACGCCTGGATTTTCCGGCCAGATGTGACGCAAGGCAAAATCAGTCTACTTTCCTGTCTGGAGAGCCTTATGACTAGGTAAGTGCAACGAATACGTAGAAGGAAAAGTGGAAGGACATCTGGAATTGTGTGTTTTCAATTAGTTCTTCTGTGTACAGCGAGGGAAGTGACACGGCTGATGGCACCGCACGACGGCCGATGTGGCGTTAGAATACATGTTTATGAATCTTTTTTGTACACGGATCGGGATACTGGGAGGATGCTCAGAATTACATCGTAGACTTCCCATATGTGATGATCAAAATAATAAAAACCAGCCGGACAGATAGACTGAAGATGAAATAGCAGATGAGAAAGAACAGCAGACTGATCTCAAAACCGCAAATTGGTGGCACAGAACCAACTCCAACTAATGGTATTTTGTAAGACCACGGGCCTTTGGCAACTTAATTACGCTTTGTGTTTACTGCCCATTGTCCTTTTAGAAAGAGGGTAGATCGAGGCATACACAGCAATGAGAGGTTTGCAAAAAATCATGATGCCTGATGGTTAGCTGTTCATAGCTGCTTTCAAGATAATGGGCAGCATGTATAGCGGAAACAGGCCAAAGAGCAACGCCGCGTGCAGCATTCAACCAAATGACAATTTCATCGAAGTTACAATCCAGCCGTTCACTTACTAATTCCATGAAGTGAAATACTACAATTGCTTGACTCTTACTCATGCCTGAGACGTAAAGGGATCAAAGGGTTGCCTTGTCTCAACGTGCCATATCCCCGCCCAATGGGCACACGTGAGCAGCTCAGCACTGTGAGATACTTAGGGGCAACAATCTTAATTACACAAACTGGATGGTGTGCTACTGAGATGATGTTTCGGTACTCTAAAGTGCACTTTAGCAAGGAAAACAATGGTGATGATTTTTTAATAATTTGTGCAGCAGCCTTAGCGCGTGGAAAAATCCTAGAATGATGAAGCCGATTGTAGTTTGCATCAGTACGCTCAAGAACGTTATGCTGCATTTTTTGCACAGTAGAACAGCTAATAATAAAACTCCACAAATTCGAAAGGTCTCAGAACATTCTATTCACACCATAAATTTCAAACCTTTGTTTCAGAGTGTACTATTCACAAAGAGTTCAGTCCAAAGCCAAGATCTGAACGCGATTGACAGTATTCGCGGCAATAAAAGTCCACTCTTTGTGCAGCAGAATAACCCGGAGTAATCGAGCTATAGAATTGAATGAGTTTGAGGTCCAGTTTGAGTCCAGGCCAACAAAAACTGAAACCGACCTTCGGTGCTTATCAATAGTCGGGTAGATTTCGCTGATTACATTCAACACATTACTCCAGTAGGATGTCGTCAAAATTCCATACGTTTGTGGTTCCTTTGCACTGTTGTTTGCCGTCTGATCTGATCGTAATGCGCTCCGTTTCTTTAATTTCCCGTTAGGCGGCTTATCCTTATTATCATACGTCTACTTGTCTCCGTTCCGAATTCCACCTTACTGACACTGCAATATCATCAATATTTTGAGCATTGGTATACAATGAGCTGCATTGATGGTTCATTACGATCGACTGCGTTTTGGCTTATTTCGTGGATCAGTAGTGTATAACTGACTGATCACATTAGTGCAATTTTTCAAAGTGTTTCACTCCCAGTAGTGATCCATGAAATGGCATAAATAGATTGGCAAATCTAATCCTATGAGTTAGTATTTCTAGAACATCGTGCAAAACATCACTGGCATTTATGCGAGGCACGTAGCTAGTATTAGGTTGTACAATCTACGTGACCATTTAATGAGGGCCCGGATCTACGTGCAAGGCAGTGTGCAATCTGAATAGCATTTCAATATGATACAAGCTTTGACCGGTGATTCCAGCTCAAGCAACTGTATCTTCTCTAGTCACTCTTAGTGACAACAGTTTTATGTGGAAGCAAAAAACCAGACATTACGGATAAAGGTAAAATGCAATCATCTGCATTACCCAAAGTGATAGGCGTACTGCATTGTCCTCCACTACAGATAAACCTTGGTTGTCAGCTGCGGTGACTGATACAATTACTCTTAGCTATTCATCTTTTCGGAAATTACCTTTCAGTTCAAGCATCTTTCGTGATCGCCTATCTGTTGGAGCTTGCGTGACCAATGTGTTTTTACACCTTGCATCTTCATACTTTTATACACACGAGAGTCTCACGCGTTGATGTATCTGATTACCGGAAGCCTTGGGGTGTCTGTGACTCCGGTTGGTGGCTGTTATTAAGTAGCAGTCTTTAAGTGCTACGTGTTTACTAAGTCCTTTACGGAGCGTTCCGACTTAGTAGTCGTATGCTTCCAACTTTTCCATAGTTCTTGCTATTTTCATACTTGAGCTCCCGGTATTGAAACAGTTGGTTGGAGTGAACTCCTTCTTTTATTTTCTGCAGCTTTGCATATCTGGGGAAGGGGATCACCGGCAGAGATGCTCATCGAAACGCCACTGGGCAATACATGCAGTTATCTACTGCTGTTCTACTAAATGGGAGGATGACTCTACGGGAAAATGTGCTGTGCCAAAGTTCACTGATGAATCCCGTCTCGTTTGTTAAATCTGAAGAGTATGATGCAAGCAAACATTAGTGACCAATTTTCCTGAATCGGATTTGCATTGGATATCCTGTAGATGTTGTCAACTTCTTGAAGAACACAGGAAAACGCAAAAATATGCTAAAGTGCGATTCCATGACCTAACTCTTGTAAGCTGGTAACAAAATGCGAACCGTTGAAGGTGCGTGACCTTGAAATTCCGCTCACTTAAAAAGCCGAAAACTGATTTAAAAAACCTCTCGGGTTCCGTGTGTGGGCATACAACATTTCGGATAAATGATATGTTCTCAAGCCTTCTGACGCTTTTTACATCTCAAAAGACGGTGAAACTACTGTTAAAACACTAAAACTTGAAAATTAACCATGAGTTTGATTCAAAGAGTTACCCAGGTTAATTCCAGGGTGCTTAAAGCGACTTCAAGAGGATTTGAAGTGGGGAAATTTCTAGGGTTAGAAATTGTGAATCAAGACATCCTTGTTTTTTTAATAAGCGGGCTCCACTGAACACGCCCTTACATATTTGTACCATAAGCACTAACAACCGCAGTATTTAACAAGAACGCCATTCCGCACTTGATAAGGCTACGAACGTCAGGACACCAGCGGAAAATTGAATGTACTCACCTCAATTAAGCTGGGTTTCTCAGTTACAGTTTCTCCGCTGCTCTCTTCAAGGGGACCAGAAAAGAATTCATCCAAATTGCCAGCTTGTGGTAGAGAGTTTCCGTTTTGTACCTGGATGCCAAAATTTATTGACGAATTGGTATCAAATGCAGTCGTGGTTACGACATTCAGTGGACCGTTGTCTACTGTCTTCAGGTTTGTGCCATCGGATGGAAACAAGGGATCGTTCGTGTTCGACTGTTTGATTTGCGTTGTGTTCATGTCCAGTGGCAGTGGCATAAACTGCCGGAACGCACTCAAATCAGCATTTGTTCCTTGTACCAGACGCTAAGGGAATTAATCCACAGATGTGAGCGGCTGAATTCATTTTCGAAGCAAACCACGTGTCATAAATTAAAAGCCTCCTAAATTCGTCCTATCATTAGTTTGCCTAAGTGAACTTCGCCTTTACTTTTGGGTTTCAGAGTCCCATGTCTTTTCGAATTTGAAAGCTGGACATCCAAAGCTTGCCCGCTTTTCCTGAAATTTCGACTGCTGTGGAGTTTCCCAATTTCAGGAGACACGTCTGACTGTCTTAACAGAAACTGCGTCAATTTTTTGACAGCTTGGTCTAGTTTTAAACCACGAAGAATATTGGGCTATTTTGTCTGGGACTGTAAATTGAACTGGATGTACAGAAATCCATGCTCTATAGCAAAGTAGCCAAAACGCGGCCAGCCTGTGTCCGTCCAACTAGCAATGAGGTAGCTGCTTTCAACCGCCATGGTTCCGGGGCTCCCATCAGAACATCAGTTTTGTGCCGCTTTTGGTGGTTTCTGTAGCAATTTCCAGTCAAGCTAAGCCTGTAACACAATTAAGCTATGAATTGTGGTAGCAGCCTGCCAGATACGTTATGCTTAGGCTCGGTGAGCTCAGCACACCAACCTGAGAGTTTTCCCACGCATGAGCGCCCTGTTGCTCTGATCTGAAGCTCAGCTAACGGACCGCAAGCTCTCAGTCTGACAGGCTAACAAGGGTAGCAATGTGTTGACGTCTGATCCGTAACAAGGTTGATTTGGAAATTCCGTGTGGGAAATTCACCTGTCGCTGTCAGTCACTCCAAAGCCTGAGCAACAAATCTTCCGAAGACAAGTGATGCAATCTACACCACCAGAGTGTGCGAGGTCGTCAGAGTTGAAGTAATACTTCAAAGATTTACAGCACAAGGTTGATTTGGAAATTCCGTGTGGGAAATTCACCTGTCGCTGTCAGTCACTCCAAAGCCTGAGCAACAAATCTTCCGAAGACAAGTGATGCAATCTACACCACCAGAGTGTGCGAGGTCGTCAGAGTTGAAGTAATACTTCAAAAGATTTACAGCTGTTTGCACATTTCTGATTAACCGGATGAACAGATTGCTAGAACCATCTATATTTCCCAACTTTTCTACCAGTTTTAAACATGCAATAGAAGGGCTACTGTACCTTCTGAATCTAATCAACTCGGTAATTAGTACATAGCCTAATTTCACCAATTTCGTGTCGGTTGAGGTTCAAGCATCTGTACAGCCATAGCACAATAATTCACATAACACATGAGGTATTGCCGCTGGAAATTGCGCTTTTTCTCGGTTTTTCTAACATGAAGTGCTAGGTTTTACACTACATAGCTTTTATTTCTTCAAGGCTTTCTCAGGACCTTCAGTAATGTTCTTCTGACAACTCTGATGGCCAACTAGTCAATGATTAAGAAGAGTAATAACGCTTCCCCTGAACCTGCCTTCAGATTGAAATCAACATGTAGACTTTTTTATTTGTTCACCAAATCAGCTATCTGCATGGATATCTGCAATTAGAAATAATGGTGCTATTTAGGAAAGCAACTTAATTTCTGAATACACCTCGTACACTGGTCTTGAAGGCCATCTAAGCTGTGTACTGTAGGTACGATAAATCGATGGGTTGTCAAAGCCACTAGCATACACAGCCGGAGGCGCAACTACCAACCATGTCCGAGAACCAGTTTACCTTCCCTAAATGACCTGAAAAAGGGACAGTTCTGGCATTTACATTCTCCATTCCTACAAACTTGCACTTTCTAACATTTCTTTCAAAATTTCATCCAATACACGATGGACTGTTGCACAGCTTGTCAGAAATGTAAGTTGTCATCTAGGTTTCAGGCTCAGTACAGATGCGAAATGATGGTGGAAGAAGGGTACTTGATATTACATAAAACGAATGCTTCTGACAAGTCACTGTGGACTAGCTTAAGAGTCAAAAAACCACGCTTGAGCTACCAAGATAGTGGTACGACTCATCTGTAGTCAGCTACTGTTTTATCAACATTTTGGTTACTGCATTCAAACTCAGTACACTTATCAAACTACCACTGCTTCTGTTTTAACATGCTTGTTTTCCACAAACTCGTGCTCCACAAGCTTTGTCTACTCGCAAGTTATTCGCAGCACCAACGTTGAAATATTTACTCAGCATGAATTTAAAGGATCAAGCTTGATGAAAACACAAAAGTTGAATGCAATGTGTGGTTATTTTAAAGGACGAACCAATGTTGAAATTTACCTGTAAGCTGCAAATACTGGCGCACTCTCTATGAGTTGCCTCAGCAAATTGTTTCTATCCAGTCCCAATAGATATTTTCACGGAGGACTTATTGGATATTATGCATTACTTTGGCCATTTTCTAGAAGCATGCGCGTTGGTCGTTCTTCTTGTAAAACTGGGTTTGGTAGTCTTGTGTGGATCTGGACATATATTTCGTCAGTCAACTTATTTGATTATCAAAATGAAGGCCTTATATGAAGTCGTTATGTCAGGAGGCCTGTACTTCTGGGTCGTGAACATCTGAAAGCACCAAGACGGGTAAGTCGGACACTTCAGATGCTCAGTCCGACTAGGATTACTGCAGGTTTTATCGTCGCACGATCCAGTTGCAATTTTCTATTCATGGTCATTAACGGTAGGAATACCGAACAGATACAACCTGAGGCAAAAATGTAACTATGTGGTTCGCCGAGCTCAAACATCTGATCACCTTGATTATCTTTCCGCTAAGTTGCGTCGGTGGGGCTTGAGTTTCTATCTATTGCTTTTCTAAGGTCTTCTAGGGTTGCTTCTCGTCTGCTGTACTCGTCCCCTGAAAAGTAAGTAGCCGTCGATCAGATTATTATGTATGGTGCACTAACTGCCATTTCACTGAATGTCTTCAGATTGGTGTACAGCCCAGTGTACCCGAAAACTGACAATATCTCACCGTAACATCAACTCATGTAAATTTATGGAGTTGACTTTATGTTGGTTAGTGGGTGGCAGTGTCAGACAGTTCCAGCCAATGACTGGAAGCAAGTCATGCTCCGATCGCATGTTCAGTGAGCAGTTGCCATTTGGTCGTCATTGATCATACCATTCGGGCCAAAGCTACCATGCTGTGGACAGTTAATAAGTCAAACTTTGTACCTTGAAAGCTAGCGTTAAAAAAGGCATGAAACATAGCACACAGTGGTATTCTGAGGAATAGCAGTAACGGTGTTTAATTCGGAGTGAACCGGTTCGTTTCAATGCAGAATTATTACCGTGTTTTTATCAAACAACTTCGTTTTCTTTTGTTTTAGCCTTCCTTCTCAGTTTAATTTATTCCCTTCTTAGGTCTCGTTGCTGCGCTTAACTTCAATAATCCAATTACTCAGCACCCGACCGAAATTCACTATATACAGCCATGAATGGTTGGAATACGCCGATAAAATCTGTCACACGATTGGTATGTAGCCGAAGAGTGACTCAACCTCTGCGTTTTCTCGCACGGTTTCGTGCTGCTGCCCTGATTTCCTCACTTGAATGACGCAGCTTAAGCAATCATGCCGACAAATCACATACAATGTGCAAAACAGAAGCAGCAATTAAAATGAGACACACGGCACCGTTTGAAGAATAAACAAAATGAGTACTAGGTTGCAATTTAAGATGCGAAAACACGTCAACAAAAGTCTCCAGTGGGTGAACAACTTAGGCTCTGTCAGCGAAGAGTTTGTTTGAAAATCTGTGTACGTGGATCACTTGTCTATTTTTAAAAGCCGAAATTTCTTACAGTGGATGAATCATAAATTCTGACTAAAATTCTAGATGGAACAAGCTGTGGTGAATGACGGGATAAGTTAGCATCAGTTCCTCAGCGCGAATTCTGTCTAGGCTTCAAACCTAAATGCATACATGGCACGACCAAAGAAAAGCGGTGATATCTAGTTGTGGGAATTCCGGTTCAATACGTATGCTTGCATCACTTAAGGTAATAGGTTGTCTGTGGTCCACCAAACTTTGAAAACAAGTTTCGTACGAGCTGGTATTTTGACCCTCTTGATGCCACCAGACGAATCGTAACTTACCGTGCCATTCAGGAATAATATCAAGCAACCTGTCATTTCAAACATTATGCATCCTTATCATGGAGATTTCTCGCTCTGTCAGCGCTATCTTTCTCAACTTTGTTCCTATTTTACTCAGTTTTCCCACCAACAGTGAGGCCATCCTCCTCCACATCATCATCATCATCATCATCGTCATACTCATGATCAGCAGCATAGGTAACGGAGCCAGAAATGAACATAAAATCGCGGAAGAAGTCCAGTTTGACAACTAAATATAGGGCGCCACACAAAAATGCAGGTCTTTGCTGGTTATATCTTTTCAATGTCTAACTGAAGTGAGATCTTAAAGTAGAGAGAGGACGCTAGTTTGTACGTAATACCACTTACAACAGTTCAATGATTTCAGCTACCCAAGTATAAACAAATATTTGTTCATAATCCAGCTCGGTCTACAAAGAAAATCTCGGGTCCCTGCAGGGAACCACTCTAATGCATGAAAAGACCAACACACTTGGTTCCATTCACAGCCCTTACAAATCTTCATGTAAATTTTTGTAAGCCAATGGCTCTTGTAGACAAATATTTCTTAGTGTTAACACAGTTTGTCTCCCCAGCATTTAGTAGGTGAATTTGCGGAACAAATGACGACTTGAATCAATCGAACGATGATATACGGCTATTATGCAACTTGTAAGTCATTCTTAATTAAGAATGATTCCATTATATAAGGCATCAGGCTTAAGCGCTATGGCCGATCGGAAGCATCAATCACTTTTACTGAAACGGCACTACACAACCACCTATATCGCTGACTCACAGATGGGCTGTACTTGCGCACATCTGATGCGGGCCAGTGAATCATCGCGTAGACGTGAACCGAACTTTCCTCCCGCCGTCTAAGCCGAATGCAGCACGAAGGTGTACGAATTACCCTCCATCTGTACCCTTTATCTTTATTGAGCGTATCCAGGTGCAAACAAACGAAGTGCCAACTCGGGGCAAGTTGTTGTTACCTGAGGCAACTGCATGCTCTCTCGTTTGTCACATACCGCGCAAAGTTATTTCCGAAAGCTAGTTTCGAGCATTTACACACCATCCTCGGATGCGGCTAAGGTAAGAAGATAACCTGGTGCGCATCAACTGACGAGAAATCTAATCTCAACTTCAAAGTGTTTATCTTGAACAACGACCAACTCTCTAACCTTGTAGCTGAATATAAGCTAAAATGGTTCTTTTTGCAAAGCATGTTATCCGCAACTCAATGTATTCGTTAGTATTAGAATATAATTTTGATGGATTAAACGATCAAATAAGCTTGAAATTCCAAACATACACTCGTGCCGAAAAAAAGGAAAGGATGTGATACGATGGATTTCAAGCCAATATGGAGTTTCTCAAACGGATGCTCACACACATATACATATAATCGGGTAGGTGTGTTTCGTGCTATAGAGTTGACTATAGAGTCGATCGTCCCTTCTTGAATCTAAGGTAGGAAGTGGTCGTTGGCTTGTTCGAGGCGTCGAGTAACTCATTCCTATCGTTCAGGTGAAAATCCGTTTGCCTGTTTATACATTATCATTTAAATGCATTTAGCATGCCTCTGTGGAACAGTAATGACATGCGCTCGACTCGTAAGCCAGACGACTGGGGTTCAAGTCCCGGAATGTCAGAGGTATATACAGCTGGTGAAAGAAACTCGAGTCATCTTTGCTGTGGATTCACTAGCATATTTCCGTGCTTCAATTTGCATTGAAGATAACACCTCAAATCTTGTGTCTTCATTTCAAGCCATGAAAATTGGCAGATTTAGCCTCACGGACAGATTATGGCGACATTCACACTCCTAAAAAACCTGTTGTCGTCTATGACCCAGTTCCCTACCGACAGCGAGACGAGATCAGCTGATTTCAAACGGTCGCAGCTGATCACGTTCAAAATTTCTATAAGTACTGGGCTAAATGTTTGTAAATAGTTTTTGGTAACTTAATGAATGAATTATTAACCTGGTTCTAGTCTCTTTCGACTGAGATAACCTTGCGTAAATCTGCATAGTTCACTTGCGGAATAAACATTGTCCAAAACCTGATCCAAAAAGTTCATCGCTTTGAGAAGACTGACAAGAAATAGCGAAATCAAATCATGATCGAAATACTCACGTGATTGCCCCCGAGCACAGCGGAAACAACTGATTCTCGAGTTAAACCACCATTACAGTTCATCGAGGCAAACTTAGGCTGAACCGTAGTCGGTGACAGAATTCGGCTGGGAGTACGCTTTGAATGAGATTTCAGTTTTGTCGAACCGAATTTGGTTTGTGCAAATGTGGCTGCAGTGAAACTTGGAGTAGATGTTGACTTCTGGACAAATGGACTTACAGCCGTCGTGGTAAATGTCTGTGGGAAAACAGAAGTGAATCCATGAGGCACCTGATTATAGGGTGGCATTACGGTGTGCTCTAACTTTGGTTGGAGTGCTTGATTTGCTGGACCGATGCAGCTGGTAGTGGTTGATAAAGGAATCAACTCTCGTAGATTCGTGAAATTCGCTTGTTCTGTTTGAGCTGGATTGGATGCCGACCTATGGGTGATTTGTAACTTGTCACACAGCACAGTGGTTTGTGAAGGGGAGTCCGAGATTCCAGATAACTCTGCGTGCAGCAATGAAAGTAAAGTACTTTCAGTTTCAGTTTCCGGTATACCCCAGGGTGTCGTGCAAGCACTCGACTTTACCTCCATTCCGTTGGATAAGTCCACCTTTGTCGAGTCCGTAGTTTTGAACGTTGTACCTCTCATTTGAAAGCCTGTGGCTGAATCATAAGTATCCAAGTGTGTGGGGTCATGAATCCAAATATTTTGAGATTTCATCCCTTCCATTCCTGCTACAGTCGTTGGTTCTTGGCCAATATTAGATCCAACATTGTCCTCGCTGTCTACCAACACACTTAAGGCTGCAGCAGTTGCTAAGTGATCTCCGTGTTCTGTTTCCTGTTTCAGCTGTTTGCTCACTGAGTTATTTGTGGTGATTCCGTCGGGCCAGTGGTTCCCGTTGGAAGTAAACCAGTTGTCTTGCAGACTGTACAGAACTTGATGGGTAACCTGGCCCGAGGTAGGGGTTAAATTTGTAGAGGAAATCGATGAAGAAGCCGAAGAACAACCGGAAGAAGACAAAGAAATGGAAGTTGGCGACCAGAATGGTGTGGAATGAAAGCGATTGAGCTCTGGTTGTCCGTAACTGGGTTGTTGATATTGGCATGTCACGTGTCCTGGATCAATGCTGAGAACCAGTCCTTCCGGTAAGCATGCCTGAATTTCACTCCAGTCTAGACCACTTACTGCTGCAGCTTCGGGTAGTAACAGGTCAACTTGAGGGCCGACACTATTTATGCACCGGAAAGCTGAATCTCTTGCTGGGTCGTTTGGAAACCAATGATGCTGAAACTTTGCATGCAAATACTTCTCGAGCTCTTCGCCGAAACTATCAACTCGACGTCTGGGTAATTTTGTGTAAAGGTGGGATAGAATGTAATTCACAGCAATAGACACTTCGACGTGCATTGTTATTTCTCGGGAGTGAATTTTCAGTGTCCGAACATCTCCAAGCTGAAGCACGAATATCGGACATTAAGTACAATGGCGGTTAAGAAATAAGGCGGCAAATTCATGAGATAAACATACGGAACAATAAAAACTTCAACTGGAAATCCTCACATAATAAGAAGATGACTGCTATCCAAACCTGCTGACTAACCACCTAGCCTGCTAATGGTCAATGAGATTTAATCGATTTCGTTAGGCGACATTCAAAAATACTCGCATATAGCTCAATTATGGGTTGGCGAGTATAAACAGGATGTCACAATATGCAGCTCAACGCTTACCGTCCGAAAACGTTATTCTACACGTCAGCTGCAGCGGACGCTTTTCTTGTTTGTTCTGCTTTTAACTAACCCCATCGGGATAACTTAGAAACCAGCTGATTGATCAATGGAAGGAAATTTCCCTGATCAGGGCAGACTGTTCATTGGCCAACAAGCAAAGGTGCTTTCTGTCCAGAACGCCCTCACAAGCGTACAGAAATTGTTCCAATCGCCTAAACGCGTACACCCACTCTAATCTATAAACAGACACATACGTCACACCCGTACACTAAGATACAATGCCAATGATAGGGACAAGGTCCCATTTAGGTTTGAAAATGCAGAAGTAACTAACATTAATGTTGAGTTGTTATTTCCGTAGTTACATGAAGCGGATATCTTACTCAAAAGAATGATATAACATGAGTTTTTTTCAGAAATATTGATCGCGCAACTTCGTAGCAAGTTATCCAGAAGAAAGACGCTTGATAACCTCCGGGCCCAAGAAAATGCATAGGCATGGTATTGAGTTATTTATGTGAGAAAACTTCAGGCTTAACGCCCTTATAATAGGCGCTGGTTTGAAAGGTCCCCGGCTAGGAATGTTCTTATGAATTCTAAAAAACAAAAGACACAATCTCAGCAAAACGACAACATTCACCTTCAGCTTGCATTGATTTCTTTCGTATAAATGATGCCCACCTCGTATTTCAATGGTGTTATGAATTTCGTTAAAAAATATCAGTAAATCGAGCTAACAGCTGTGATAGCTGACATAAATGGATCACCATTAGCAAAAAAGAAAAAAGAACTTTCGCAAAACAGTGATCAACTGGATGTCCGCAGCAGGACCCGTCCATTAGCGTTCAACCCACAGGAATTCAAGGATAACCAGTATCATTGAGTTTTGACATGCCCAGGTGCTTCCGAATCAAGCCCCGTATGCGCATTCACCAGACAGACAGGTCGTTGTTGGTCACATCCATGCTAACATATGTGACTCTACTCAGCAAAGCTGACAGTGGTGGCTGGTGAACATTTGTTGGGCATTGTTGGGGATCACGTACAGCTTTCCCGTTTTCACATGTTGCTGGGGCTATATTAAGGTGGCCTTTGTCGGGGAAGTTCCTGTCATCCTTACTAGTTAAATGTCTCCAGCGCGAAAAGAAGCAAGCCGTTTATAAGCAGCAGCCTTTTGGATCATTCCGAAGAGCAGTGTGGTTTTGATCCATTACCGAACCTAGTTCAACGGTTCTCTTCGCAACTTTGTTCAGTCTTTCTTTTGGGTACAGAATGAGTTCCAAACTTCAAACTACCGGACACAGTTTATCTGTTACATCGTTCAACCGAATCCTGGAAGGGAGAAAACGCGTTGATGTTGGTATCTAGGTAGTGTGTGAAATACATTAGGACAATTGTGCTCATAAGCACCTATTAGGATCAGAACATTTGACGTCAACAAAGTCAGCTCTAAAAGCGTGGCGGGTCAAGCAGCTGGCTGACAAATTTATGGAAAACTTTGATTAGGCACTCAGAAACTTGGGAACATCACGTTACATGTTAGGAGGCTACAAACCACCATTATGTTCAGCGAATTTTGGACTGTTTGACTTCTTTCAGCGTTCAAAACCAAAAATGGCGTTGCCATGCTCATCTCGCAAAGTTTTGTGTGGAAATCACCCTCAAATTTACCCAAACAACCATGTTTCCTATCTTCAACCCACTCAGGGTACAGAACAACCTGTTCAATGTATGTGTGGAATTATCACGTCTTTAGTAGGATATGATGAAATATGTGCCCGGAGTGCTGTGTTCCTGTCAATCAGCTGGCGCACACACTAATAATTCATAGTATCCGATAGAGAGAGAGACTGCGGTCGTTTAACTGAGGCGACACAGTTCGTGAAGTCTTCTCACTGAAATTTTTTTCAGCAGACATGCTATTTAAAGAATGATATGAAGGGCTATCTTCCAAGTGTCCTGATGTGGGAACTGAGGGTAATAAAGCCCCATGTCTTGTGAATATCAATCCAAGCTTTCTAGGCTGTCCTGATAACCTATTTTTCATAGCTGTGCATCATGTAGTTGTTCTAAAAGGTAGGATCTTCCGCTAACCAGAGTCTCTGCCTGACTCTATATCTGTCAGAGAGAGAGGGCGCTTCAATCGTGGATAACCCAGAAACACTCGCTTGGTATGCTCAACCTGGACTCTGGCAACCTGAGGAAAGAGACTTATACTGATCAAATACTGAACTGTAACAGCAACCATCCAGTAGACCACAAAAAGAGATGCGTCCAAACCTTGTTCATGACACAAGGCAGCACCACAGAACTACCGAAGAAGGGGGAAAACCACCTATTCGGGGTATTCCAGAACAATGGATATCCAAGGGGTTTTAACAAGAGAAGCTTGAAGAAGAAGACATCTCAACAACAGCAACAGCAAGAACAAGCCACCAAACAAATAGTCCTGCCAGTCCAACCAGATCATTGGCTCAAGAAGGAATATTCGTAGTTCACAAACTGAATGTCACCCCATACCGATGGAAAACCGAGACAAAACCAAGAAGAACAATGTGATCTACCAAATCAGCTGCAACACCGGCAACAAATTCTACGTTGGGAGGGAATGGGAATAAGTTATGCACATGAATAAAGGAACACAACGCGGTTGTCAGGAGGCATGCCCCTGTCCTTGATATCTATACACGAAGACCAAGAAGGCCAAAGATTCAATCCGGAAAACGCAAAACGTTTGGCATACAGAGACATGAGATACGGACGAGAATTCCCGAGAATTTCCATGGCAGATTCGATAAGCCGTGCAAAAGACCAACATCACAACTGGAACATTGAAGGAAGACCGAATATTGGATTCACAAACAAAGAAATGAGGAACTCCTCGGAGTCAAATCAATAAAGTTCACAACCTGGGACTCGGAGGGACAAAGGTCACTCCAACATCGACCAGATTACAACGGCAGGGATACCAAGCTCAAAGATCACGTGGGCATCGGCAAATGAGGACACGGGAAAACATAGCAATCAATGGAACCATCCAGCGGAGCAACTGATTGCGATCAAATGTCATCCCCGACGAGCAGCAAGTATATTAACACACGTAACACTGATCATCGCGCAACCACCAACCCACTGTTAAGCACCACCACGCTCGCCAATAACGCACTGATGATGTCACCTCGATTGGTGATGAAACGTTTGCAATCAAATTACCCAGCTCAGCGAACAAGCAACGAACATGCCCAACCATCTTATGTTCGATAAGTGTCAGCCACTTATAGCTGACCTCCATTGAATTCCGCTTCGCAAGACAGATAGATTTTGTAGTGTTACCGGGCTTTCACGAGAAATTTTCAACAGCGGTTGACCCAGAAGTAGTTTGACAACAGATTGAACGAAATTCTGGCACATTCCGAGATCCATTGCGTTTTTTCTTTCACTCTGAGTGACAAAGACTGAGGCGTTTTCCTTCAGATGACTCAGAGCGATGGCATAACCGTTGACCCAGTGCTAATCAATTTTGCACAGGCTGCAATCGTGATCTTGCAGTAGCCTTGCTAAAATTCGTGAGCATCACCAGTGCTTTGAACGGCTTATTTATCGGTGGTCATTGAAATGCCGTTTAACTCTTTTGGGGTCCACTTTATTTCTTGAGTATCAAAGGAAAGCGATTGAAGGAAGCTGTGAACAACATAGTTGGGCAGTGAATTTTCAAGGTACTTTGAACAACAGCGGAGACACTGTGGCGAAAGACACTGTGGTGAGAACGCTAGTCATTGTGGTTCAGGCCATTTCAGTTTTACTGGCTTTACTTTTAGAAACCTGATTAAGTCGCCTTAGGGATTGTCAGTATCACTCGAATCCGGATGTAAAGTCTGTCTGCGGACGTATCCAGTACATACTTACTTCCATCACCAACCATTGACGGAAGATCACGGATGGAGTGGTTGTTGGTCAGGTGAATGTTCAGCTGTCGATCGAGCTTGACGTGCGAAAGTTTCGTCATCAGCCGAGTTGACATAATTGGTGAATGGATGAATGAACACTACTTCCTCACCAAACTTCGGTTGTATGATTTTAAAGAACAAATACACTCATTTGCAAATCAGTTTAGTTTTCACGGAAGACTCAACTGAGTCTGTAGTCGTCAACTGAATGCGCTACACAAAGGACACATCATGCTTCATTTGGTACGATATCCGCATAAAGATTATATATATTTAATTAACTGGTGCTGATGACGAACCGCTTGCAACAGAACGCACCAAAATTCACGAAATCGGCAACCAGTGAGTGCACAAATCGCACCAATAATTTGATAATTTGTTGGCAGAGGGAGGGATTTGACCCGAGAAGCAACAGCTTGAACTTTGTGCAGATCTGTGTGTAAATACGTACTGCCACTATAGCCCCTAACTTTTTGCTGGTCCGCTGGATTACACGACCACCGAGAAACTGCAACTACGAAGCCAATTTTATCTTAATGTGTGTTCTGGAATATTTCCATACTCTGGGTAGCAGAGAAGCTTGACAGCTGATGTGATCCACGTTTTGTGTTCAGCACTCTCACCATCGTGGTACATCAGGGTAGATAGAAGTTTGAAACTCTGATTAAACAGTTACTGGTAGTAGTACATCATACGGAATTTAGAGAAGAAAGTGATACAACGAGTCTGCATAGTGTCTAAAACTTGTTAAACCAAACCATGCCCATCGATCGTAACAATCAGATACAGCAAATCAGTAGATCACTTGAATAATAATATGTGATTTAAGTCAACGAATAACAAACGAGCCTTAACGAAGTATTTTATAACTTTATTGTGTAGGCATGAATCATCCGTACACATACCTTTTGATTACCTTGATTT